ATAAATAAAATCTTTAAAAAAAAAAAAAAAAGAAAAAGTACATCTGTTCCATCTTTCCAGAAGCAGAGGCCCAAATCTTGATATTTTTAAGAAATAATTCTTCCCCACAAGTAACTCTGAGAGATAGGATAGCACTTTTCTGTTACAGTGATTACAAACTGGAGGCCTACTGCTCAAACAGGCAGTAGCAGGGAGTTTTTTTATTTATTTTTAGAGGAACATATTGTACTCTCCACAGCCCCCTCTATGTCTGCCTAGCTTGTTAACTATCCCACGTAGACATTTGTGGTTGCAAACTCTGATTTAATCAATAGATCATGAGGCCAAGCTATCAACAATGGATTACGCCCATGGATTCGGAAAGATCATGCTCAAGCTTCCCTCTTCATAGATTAGTACTCAATTTAAGAAATATTAACTAAGACCTAGCTCAAGCATAATGAAGCCTTTCTTGTACACTGCACCCTACTTCCCTCCAAAGCTCTTCTGGAAATTTTTGTTGAAGATCCAGAATTTAATCACTATACTAACCTATTAAATGATTAAACTTAGTACAGGACTTTCTCCATTTTCTCCTTTTTCTTCAGAATGGTTAAAGAAGAAATCTAGCTACTGTGTATGCGTGGATGAGGGGAGGAGAAACAGGAGGAGAGGTACAGAGAGATGATGATGATGATGATGATGATGATGATGATGATAGAGCCAGAGGAAGGAAGATGATCACATTAAAATTAAAGTGTCCTAATTTCCTGAAGGCTAGCTAGAATCAAATCGTTTTAGATAAAACAGAATTGAAGAATGTTCTAGAAAGAAAGAAATTTAGAGACTTACAATCTAATCCAAACTCTCTTATCCTTACAGATAAGGAAACTGACACTGAGAGGTTATACAAGGTCACAAAGCTAACCAGTACTGTTTGTACTACTCCATCATGTTCCCTCTTCCTGGCCTAGTTCTACTTTCCAAACGATGGAAACTGATCAACTCTATCTCACTCTTACTAATAGTTTCTAAAAATGTTTCATTACAATTTGTAACTGTATTATTTCATCTAATCTATGGAACATTACATTCAGATCTTGTTCTTAAAATTTTTCACAAATTCAAGAGAAAGATTTTTACTCTTTGTTATTAGCCCAGTAAAAATGAAAGTAATTGAGTTGGTAGCGGGGGAGGGTCAGGCAAACAAAACATTTTATTACATTTCTTCTAGCAGTCTTACTTATCCAGCAAATCTTCAGGATGATTTGTTACTAAGCATACATTTATCAGTTGAGTTGATCCACAATTCAACATAATCCCTATCTACTCTTTCAGCTGGGACAATGTTCCCAAACTTCTGTAATTTCATATACCACCTCTACAAGTTTGGTTTGCTGTATCTGCATATCACCTGTACTAATTAATATTTAATGTAATTAATGTACTTATCTTTATATTGACTTTAAAGATTTTATTTATTTATTTTTCCCCCCAAAGCCCCAGTAGATAGCTGTACGTCATAGTTGCACATCCTTCTAGTTGCTGTATGTGGGACGCGGCCTCAGCGTGGCCGGAGAAGCAGTGCGTTGATGCGCGCCGGGATCCGAACCTGGGGCCGCCAGCAGCGGAGCGTGCGCACCCAACCTCTAAGCCACGGTGCCGGCCCTTTATATTGACTTTAAATCCACTCCTTTTTCATACTTTGCCTGGCTCTAAGCAATAACATAAATCACATGTTTGATGTGCTAGTGTTTCTAATACACACTAAAATAATTACGTTACTGTTAAAACATGTCCACGGACATACCATCTACACTCATCTCATGTGATACCACTGATATTCTTACCACACTCTGGGTGATCTGACCCTGAGCTGTCAATTTATGATATGAGTATATAATAAAACAATTGTTCTCCAAAATCTAACACGAGTGACTAATCATTCAGATTTGTGGGAATGTATCAGAAATGTATGGTCCCATCACCAATTTCAACAGATATAAACCTAGGAAGCCTAGCTTTTCATATTTTACTGTACATAAGAAATATATGAGGCACTTGGTTCCCTGCACTCAGAGATTCTGATTCACTGAGTGGGAGGGGGTCATGGAAGCCACATTTGGGCAGGCACCAGGGAACGCTGATGCAGGAAGACCCAAAGATCACATTTTGAAAAACAGTGGACAAGGAGGTGGGACAAAAGTTTGTGTGTGTGTGTGTGTGTGTGTGTGAGTGTGTGAGGAAGATCAGCCCTGAGCTAACATCCATGCTAATCCTCCTCTTTTTGCTGAGGAAGACTGGCTCTGAGCTAACATCTATTGCCAATCCTCCTCCTTTTTTTTCCCCAAAGCCCCAGTAGATAGTTGTATGTCATAGCTGCACATCCTTCTAGTTGCTGTATGTGGGACGCGGCCTCAGCATGGCCGGAGAAGCGGTGCGTCAGTGCACACCTGGGATCCGAACCAGGGCCGCCAGTAGTGGAGCGCACACACTTAACCGCTAGGCCACGGGGCCGGCCCGGGACAAAAGTTTTAAAATCATTCTAGCTTTTCAATAGGATGACTTGGGTTCAAATCTCAAGTCTAAGTGTGTGATACTAAGCAAGTCACTTAACCTCTCTGAACCTTGTTTTCCTCATCTGTTAAATGATGATTATAATAAAAGCTGCCTCACTGGGTTGTTTTAAGGCGTAAATGGATGATATGTCAAAAAGTATTACAAAACCATCGAGCCCTGTACGTGCTAGAGTGTGGATGAGGATGTAGAACTATCCTCAGCAGCCTACAACTGAGAAGACAATCAGCATTTCAAATCAAGATGTGAGTGCTCCGTTCCACAGTAACATCTGCTCGCATTTAATTACTGACATTGAGTGTAACCTATAATAAATTAACCTCCAAATTGAGTGTGTATTTCAAATAAGATATTTGCACAATAGATAATTTCAAATATTATCAACTGATCACTGCAAATTAAATCCTCAAGGAATTGTATCTGGACCTTCAGAGCCAACTGCATGCAATGGCTGCCACGCCAGAGGTGTCCCAAAGGTCCATCCTGGTTACCCTGATTTTGAGAACTACTTTACAAGTAACACATAAAACTATCCTTGTGGTTTAGAAACATTTTATGCTTTTATTATTTTAAAAAACTCTCCTTGAAGAAAACATAAATCCTGAATTATAAATTTGACACCAACTTTGCAGACTTGGCTACAGTAGGGCAAATAAAACAAAGATAATTATAAAACATGCTCTCTTACAATAATTCATCAAAGGCTTTAGCTATGATCTGATGTAGGTACTTAAAATTCAATTTACAAAATAGAGAAAAACCTTACTTTTTCTGTATACCATCTGTTAAGCCATTCCAATAAGAGCTAATTCTGCTACACAAAATTTGTAAATAGACTAAAATCAAAAATCTCTAGTTACTTCATGTTCAAGTACAGATTCAGTCTGATCTATTAATGTAAAGGTTAGACAGCTATGCACACAGTCAACATTCAATCTTTTATAGAAGCCACACAGCACTCACAACTATTCGACTATAATGAAAACGTTGCAGGTAACTCATAATCGTCTGCAAAGAAAATCATTTCAAGGTCTGAGAGCTATTCTCTCTTAATAAGGGTCCTTGAGCCTCTCCACTCAGTGGGGCAGTTTCTCAACTAAGGTGGGGGCAAGAGGGCAACTGGACCAGTAGAGTCAGCAGTTGCTCAGCGACCAGCCAGTCAGGCACTGATGATGCAATTAGTCCCGCCGGGTTTCGAGGCCCAGGAGTCCCAGCTGCTCCTATGTGGGCAAACATGAAAACCAGGTAGCAGGGAAGCCTATTAAGGACTCTACTGTCACTCTTCTGTCTGAGTACATTATCCAATTTCTATTTACCGCAGCCGTGCCTCCCTTTGGTAGGCATACTCAACAGCATCTGACGGCTTGGATGAAGCCAGTACAGCATGATGGGCAGATCTCAATCACATGGCCTCTTGAGTCTAGAAACTGAGGCTAGAGCCCTCAAACAAGGAGCAGCTATTAAGAATGAATTAGGATCTTGATTATAGTTCTTGAACTGTTTGTAAGATGTAATGCCTGGCAAGGACCGCAATTTGGAGAGACTGTTGACTGAGGGTAGTCTGGGATACTAAATATAATTCACACATATTTGTAAAAATCAATTATCTCTTACTAGCAAGCAAAACTGACTATAATAAACTGCAACCTCAATTCAAGCAAACACTTCTACTGGAATGGCTTCATTCAATGTACCTGTTAACAGTTTATTGACAGTAAAACAAAGTTAGTCTTCAGCTTGAACAAAGATGGAGCACGCACATTTTGTGTGTGTTAACTGACTCAACAAGCATTCACTGAGCACCTGTCATGTCCCAGGATGGTGCTGGGGGAGCAGCGGTGAGTAAAAGAGCCCCAACGCTCTGCTGACAAGGAGCTTATCACTCTTAACTTTAGAATAAGCAGGGAATCCAACTTTTAAAACAAACAAGAGATTTCTCAATTCAATAAGGACTAAAAAATGAAGCTGCCCAAACAATAGTCTTGAGCTTTTGCAAGTTTTTTGCATTCTAGTATCACATGTTAATGGTGAAAACCCACAGCTAGTACCTAAATACAGAAACAAATTGTGAAGTTAGGGAAATACTGGACATCAGACGTTTTCTGAAATTCAGAATACTAACAAAGAAAATACAGGCATTTATTATAATAAAATACAAAAATATAATATATAATATAATAATACAATGGAACTGGATTTTTAAAAGAATGATCATACTCTAAAGACAGCTTTTTCTCTCAATTACAAAACTATGACCACATACACTAGATCCTGGTAAAATTTTTCTTCTAAAGTTCAGATCTAAAAACAGAGAACCTTTCCCCTTATTCCCAAGCACATGACCCCTGAGCAGCAAGGGCCCAAAGTCTCCCTCGAATTAACAATGCAAAGCTTCTTGGCTGCCCACTATACCAAAAATGAATTCAGGACTCCATGCTGCTTACCTTGTAATCTCGGGATACATTTTCTGATGTCACTGAACCTGAAATCTGACTAGAAATTGTAGCAGCTATAAGCTGTTTACACCATTCAACATGTGATCCTGTAGGACTAAAAGAAATAGTGTGATTAAAATATTTTAAGACACAGGCTCTCAGTGAGAAAAATGAGCACTGACTAGGGATATATGCACATTTCTTTTTTCCTGAAAATGAGCTTTTATTAGACTATTTGGTTACCTTTACATTTAATATAAGAACTGAAGTACTGACTGACAACTAGGAAGTAAGATGAGGTTCCTGGTTGATTTTAAATGAATCAACCTTTCAGGGCATTAGACATTAGACAGGTAAGCATGTACTCACTATCATTTAATGGAATTTTACTCTATTAAAATTATATAGAGTGACTCTTCCTAATGTAGTGTATATAGAAAATTAATTTTAAAGTGAAATATTTATCTTAGAGCATATGCTTCTCAAACATCCAATCAATTTCATGTTGGTAGTTTTAAATCTAGAAAATAATACAATTTCAAGTGAATCAAAGTCACTCTTAATGGAGCAAAGTCGATTATGTGATTTTAAAAAGAACAGACTAGAAAAACAATGTCCTTCATGTAGTAATAATGCTACCTTACATTTCCGTAAGTGCTTTGACAACTTACAAAAGGCTTTTCTGGTCTGTTATTATATCAGAGCCTCACAACCCTGGTGTGATAAGAAGGCAGAACAGGGACCAGTCAACTTGTTTCTGAGATGAGAAAACTGGCAGAAAGTGGCAGGCCTGCCTCCAGTTCTACTGGGGTGTCCTTCCAGGATACAGCATAACCAATAGTGACCAACTCACTGAGCTGGAGGGCAAAACAGAGGCCAGCGCCACAGAAGCTAGCCACTGCCTTATAGGAGAACACAACAATACAAAGAAAATGGCATCTTCCACTTGCATGGTGCTCTAAAGTGTTCAACACATTTCCACACGCAGCCTCGCCGGACCCATCTCACAGATGCGAAAACAGAGGATCCAGTGTTTGACCAAGATCACACGACTTGCAAGTGGTCAGGCTGTGCTCACCTGACTTAAAGGAGCAAATAAGCAAACTAGGCAGTGAGGGAATTATAAACTTCCCCCAGGGGCTGGGCTCCTCCCTCAACTTGTCAAAACACTGAAGAAATCAAGGAAAAGGGCAAAAGAAGCTTATGAAAGTTTACTTGGCAGGTAGCTTTCACTGTAAAGAATGTTCCAGACCTTTAAAAATCTCATCACTAATTAAATCCAGACTTACATACTGGAAGGACAGAAAAACCTGGAATCCCTAGGCAGTATGTAAAAAAAAAAAAACTAAATAGTAAAATAAAGATATTTGATGTTCTCTACTCTCGACTAGTGATCCACATTGCAGTCTCTAACCAAGACAGCCCAGTGGTTACCTGTGGGGCTGAAAATATAAGTAAAAACATTCAGTGAAAGGGCAGACATTCCTACCATATGTCAAAAATCTATTTACCACAATTTCTAACTAAGAGGAAAAAGAAGGCAGGTTAGTTTCCTTTTTAAAGCTTAGGTTACCTTTATCGCCTGTTAAATCATACATTTCTTGTCATCTTGCCTTTTTCTCCACCAGCACCTACCCCTGACTGCAAACCTAACAGCAGGAACCCTCCTGGTCACCCACTGTGGGTGACCTGTGTTACCATCTACCCAGCATCCCTCTCCCTTCTTCTGACAAGGACACTTGTCTCTACTGTGGGGAACTGCCCCACTCCACTTCGTAGGATTCTGTGGGGAGGGGAAAAGAGGGGCTGACCCCTTGCTCCTCCTGCACCGACTTGTAGGGGAGCGACCCAGGCCAGGCCATCCCAGGCTTTCCTCTTGGATTCTGAGCTGTATAGATCTGCCCCTAGCGCTGCTGGAGGCTGCTCCTCACCCTGCCACCTTGATGAACCCACAGAGACAAAGAGTGAGACAAGAAAAAACAAGAGCTGGGGAGCCCCGACTACACTGTTTGCAACTGTGGCTCGAAACGTGCCCGTGGCCACCTTTCCCCCATCTGCAGCAGTGGTGTGCGCCAAGACATTTCCTCTTTGACTTAAGCTAGAATGATGTGTGTTTTTTGTCACCTGCAACCAGAAGCGTCCCGGCCAACACAGTTACAAACAGCGTGGTAGAGTGGGCTGGTAGACAGGAGGCCTGGATCCGAGTCCTGTTTCTGTCACCAGCTAGCTTCGTGACCTTGAGCAAGCCACATCCTCTCGCAGGACCGCAGCTTTGTCATCATTAACAGAAGTACAGTGTTCAGAAGAGAGCGGAGGGCCCCACAGTTCACGGGGCATGGCTGAGCCACACCCGGAGAGCCAAGTTCCACTCCAGGGAGCACATTTAACAGAAGAGTGTCAATCAGAGCTTGTCATGATGACAGAACTGAGAAGGGAAGCCAAGTCTCCTCTCCCCTCTTTCTTCTCTTTAGTCTGTGCTATCTCCCTCCACACTCCTCGTATCAACAACTACTTGCAGGCTGGGGGCTCCCAGCTTTCTTCCTCCAACCTGGACTCTCCTGATCTCAATGGCCATGATCCTATGAGACATCTCCTCTAGTCGGTCCCAGAGACCATGCCAACTCAACCAGCATCAGCAGCTCAGCCCACAAGCCGCTCCCCAACCCCTTGTGTTTCCTAAGTCAGAGAAAAGCACAGCCAGTTACCCAGGCGCTCCAGGCCTGAAAGCTGGAGTTTCCCTTAGAGCCCACCCGCAACTTCACTCTCACATCTGAACGCTCACCAAGTCGCCTCACTCTTATCTGCTAAGTACCATGAGAATGCACCTTGCCCAAGTCCTGTTCCAATTCCTTTTCCAGATGCCCATCATTCTTCTGTGTTCTCCTCCTGCCTTGTGAATTTAAGCCCCATCTCTATGCTGATGACTCTCAAATTTAGGTCTCCAGCCCAGACACCACCCCTGAACTCCAGGCTCATATAAACCACATGCCTCTTGACTTCTGCTCTGGGACATACAACTGGCATCTCCTAACTCATATGTGCAGAGCTGTTGTTATTGTTACATGCCGACAAGTAATTTCCTAACCCTGCTCCACTTACAGGCTTCTCCGTCTCAGCAGCACCATTTTCCCACAAGCCAAAAAAACCTTGGGATCGTCCTTGTCTCTTCTTCTCTCCTACCCAACAAGCAATCTTCAGCTAACCTACTGGCTCTACCTTGCAGGTTTTCTTCAAATTCTATCCAGCATCTGACCACTTCTCCCTTCCTCCACCCCACTGCTCTAGTCAAAGCCACCATCCTCTCTCACTTGGACGACTGCAACAGCCTCCCACCTGCTAGTCTCTCTGCTCCAACCCCTTCCCCTTTCGGTCTGTTGTCCACACAGCAGCCATGGAGATCTGACTGAAATCTACACCAGATTATGTCACTCCCCTGCTCCAAAATCCCCAGCGGCTCCCCATGACTCTCCACCATCTGCCCCTACTGCTCTCTCCCTTGTTCCCTCCCTGCTGGTGACACTGGTCTCCTTGCTGATCCTTGAACACTTGGCTCACACTCCCACCCCAGGGTGCACAGGCCTCTGCCTAGAATGCCATGGCCCCAGATACCTGTATGGTTGGATCCCTCACCTCTCTAGGGGCACTACTCACATGTCGCCTTTCTCAGCAAGGCTTTCCCTGACCATCCTCCACAAGAGTCCAACCGCTCCCCAAACTGCATACTCCCCAACTCCCCAAACTGCTATCCCGTCCCAACTTCCTTTCTCCCCTTAGCACATATCACCATCTAACAGAGAACACATTGTACTTGTTTTTTGTTTTTTTTTTTGTCTATCTCTCCCACCAAACCTATACTCCACGAGGGCAGGGAGTCCTGTGTGTTTGTTCCCTGCTGTATCCCCAGACCCTGCACAGTGCCTGACACAGAGGAGGCACTCGTATTCACAGAAGAAATGACTGAGTGATTAGCATTTCCATAACCTACTAAGTAAGACCCTCGCCACAGGTCCATTCACCACACTATTATATAGCAATCCTTCTCCACCATCAATCCCATCCTGTAACTCACCTGATGGAAAACCTTTGGTGGTCCCCATAGCTAGGGTGACCATATAATTTCTCGTCCAAACCAATACAGTATTGTGAGTTGAAGGAGGATGCTATTAATCATTACATTGGCCCAACTAGTAAATGAGTACTACCCTGGGCAAAAGACACCCCATGGCCCACCCTAACTGTAGCTAAGGTGGGTGCTTAAAATGCAGAATTCCAGGCTCTACCCCAGAGGTGGATGGACTAGATTCAGGGTGAGACCCGAGAATCTTCATTTGAATTAAGCACTGGAGGTGATTCTGATGCAGCCTGTACAGGACCCTGCCGAGAAGCATCGGCCTCAAGGATAAAGGCACAATTCGCTAGGAAGGCACACAAGCCCCCCAAGATCTGGCCCTTGCCTTCCTGCAGGGACTCTCTCTTTCCAGTTCCCCACCTCCAGCATCACCTGCATGACTGTACAGTCCACTCCCATTGCCAAAAAGCCCTCCCACTCTGTCCCCTGGCTAACTTCTCATTCTTCACCCTCAAGTTCAAATGTCAGCTTCTTCAGAAGGCCCTCACTTATTGCCCATACTCCCTGACCCCCACCCCCAATGAAAATAAATCAAGTACCCCACCTCCATGTACCCACAGTGCAGTGGATCACAACTGAGGCTGCGGAGCTTCTTTAAAAAATACTAAGTTCTGGGCCTCACCGCAAACCTCCTGAATCAGAATCGTCAGGAGTGGGGTCTGGCCACCTGGAGCTCTTATAAGCTTCTCAGATGAGTCCCATGCATACACCATCCAGAGTACTTCTGCGGTTACCTCCACCCAAGCTTTTATCACATTTGATTTAAATTGCTGGTTTGTTTGCATTCTCCACTACATGGTAAGCCAGAGAGCAAAAGCCATCTTGTAGTATTCTCTGACTCTCCAAGCCCTCAGACATTGTCGCATATCTGCAGGTGAGTGAAATCCTGACCATTCCAAATACTGTGTTAGCTGTGATTAGTTTTCAGTGAAGCTAACGACTTGGGCGATTCATTTATTAAAATCCATTGTACTTACACTGAGGTAGAACCAAAGGGAGTGTTTCTTGTTGTTCCTAAGCTTTTGGAAACTCCCAAAAGTTCAGCTCACTGGTATGACTAAGACCTGCAGGAATGAACATCTGAAACTGACCGAGCTGCCTTACAACAGCATCTGTTGCCTAACTGCACTCTAGTGTCAGCGAAATGGCCAAGATGTGGGGAGACTGGATATTCCGGGCCATGGGATAACCCATCCCTTGTCCTCAGAGCGTTAGAGTGGCCCTCCCAGTTGCACATGGTCGCTTTAGACTTCTGATTTATCTTGGTTCTGCAACTGCCCAAGAAGCAGTAGGCTTATGTGTTCACGAAAACAATCAACCGGTTCCTTCCAAGTGTGAAGAACTGAAAGTAAACGATTGTGTGTTCCTCCATCAGGAGCAGTTTTCCATCCCAGTTTTTCAAATCAGGGTATCTCTGCCTTCATCTGCACCCGCTCCAACACTGCGGGGTTCCGCCTCCCAGGCCCCACCCCTAGCCCCAACATCAAAGACCCCAAGTAGCGGTGGCGGGATTTTGGTCTTCAAGCCTCAGGAGGCAAGGGCACGCTAAAAGAGGCGAGCCCGGGTGAAATTTCCCCCCAAACGGTCTGAGGCCGGGGCAAGGCCAGCCCATGCGTCTCCGAGGTGCAGCGGGAGGTGGCCCGGGAACGGTTTGACAGCTGCCGAGCCCCTGGGGGGGGGCGGACAGCTCCTGCACGCGAGGCGGAAGTGAGGCAGGTGCGGGCCCTGGGGTGTGTGTGTGTAGGGGGGTGAGTCGGGGTCCCAGAGGGACCGGGGAGGGGCCGGAGGAAGGGGACCCGCACCCCGGCCTCGGCCCGGCGCGGCGCGCGGGGAGAGGCGGGTGGGCCTCGCGCGGGGCC